GTGGGTGTGTGTGTGTAGAGGGGGGGTTCTGGCAGGTCCGAGCCTCCTCGGGTGAGGTTTGCTGGTTGTGGCTGCTACGTGGGAGCAGTGCGCTGTCCAAAGAGCTAGGCTTGGAGCAGGCACAGGTGCGGAGCAAGCACAAAGGAGGAATCGACCTGAGAGAAAGCAGGAGGTGCAATCTAGAGGACCCGTCCCCCGGGGCGGGGAGAAGGCGAGCATCCAGCCAGAGCCGCAGGGAGAGGCCGAGGCCTGGCAGCAAGGCAGCGAATGGCAGGAAGAGCCGGGGATCTGAGTGGGAGGTGGGGAGGGGCTCCGGGGGCTGCCAGGCAGCAGAAGGAGGGGTGCAGGGGATGCGTGGGAGAGGCTTGCGGGGAGAGTTGGAAACCCGAGCCAGCGCGTGCAGTGCAGTGCTCTGTCCTGTCCCCCAGGGGGCTTCGAGGGGGCAAGATGGGAGCCGGGGCTGCTCCCTCGCCCCAACGAGCACAGCGAGATCCTGACTCAGCACGGTGGGATGAGGCCCTGTGTATGGCCTCCTCTGCATGCAAGAAAAGAAACCCAGTTCAAACTAGCTTGAGCCAGAATGACTCCTGGAACTGGGAAGTCCACTGGTGGTGCTCCCAGCCCACTGGGCTGGGACTTAAACGATGGGCGGCTCCAGGAATCAGTCTCTCTCCACTCCTGTTTGCCGGCTTCATCCTCAGGCTCCATATGTATTTACCCACAGTGGAAAGGTGTCCCCTGCGGCTCCTGCTGATGTCCCTCTAGGGAGCCCTTCCCAAAGAAGCAGCCGTCCCCTCCCAGTCAGTCATCCCCGCCTGGGCTCCGCCTACTGCCCACCTCTCACCCAATCACTGCAGCAGGCAGAAACCACTCATGGGCCCTAGGGCCGGGTGTGGGGTTAACACCGCCAGACACATGGACTGACAGAAGGACACCCCCCACCCCTTCTCTCAGGGAGAAGGAGGAACTGGTCCAGAGCAGATAAAACGATAGATGACTCACTCCTCACTGCTGTGCCTCCAGGAGTCTGATGCCGGCCAGGTCTACAGAGTGGGCAGAAGGCCTGGCGGAGGCCCGTGACTGTCTCAAGGAGGTCTGGCCATTTTAAAGTCAGAGTTAGAGAGAGAGAGAGAGAGAGAGAGCGCTCTCCATCTGCTGGGTACTCCCCAGATGGTGGCAGCGGCCAGGGCTGGGCCCGGCTGAAGCCAGGAGCCAGGAGCTTCTTGGTCTCCCACGTGGGTGCAGGGGCCCAATGACTCGGGCCATCTTCTACTGCTTTCCCAGGCCACAGCGGAGAGCTGGATTGGAAGTGGAGCAGCCGGGACTCCAACTGGCCCTCATATCAGATGCTGGAGTTGTAGGCAGCAGTTTTACCTGCTATGCCACTGTGTCAGCACCAAGAATTGGACCTTGATCTGTAGTCGTGGAAATATTCCTCGAGAAAGATAGGCCTTCCGGGTCCTGGTGTGGAAAGACACGTGTACCCAGTCCGCACCATTCTTCAAGACCTCTGGGGAAGGGTGCTTGGTGCTGCGGTTAAGAACCTGCCTGGGATGCCTGCGTCCCACACTGCAGTGCCTGGGTTCAAGTCTAAGCTCTGCTTCTCATTCCAGCTTCCTGTTGGGGCAGACCCTGGGCTGCAACAGGTGAGGACTCAAGTCCCTGGGCCCCGGCCCACTGCGTGGGGGACCTGGATTGGGTTCCTGGCTCTGGCTGTTGCAGGTATTTGAGGAGTGAGCCAGTGACTGAGAGATAACTGTGTTTATGTGTTTCAGATTAATAAAAACAAATTTTAAAAATGAAAGGGGATCTCCTGCATTTTTCTGCCTCTACATGCTCACTCCTGCTGGTCCCTGTGCTGAGGGACAGGGTGGGGGGCGCCCTTCTCGCTGCTGCTCCACACTCAGGACTCTCGGGTGCTGCGAGGCCAGCTTTCTCGAGGGAGCCCGGCCTCTCTTCCCCTCACGCGGCTTTCACAGCAGCGGTCTCCTGCCTCCTGAGGCCTTCGCCATGCCCGCCCCCGGGACCTGCTCTGTCTCCTGCCAGCTTTCTTGCCTGTTTTCCAGTCCTCCATGGAGGCTCATCCTCTTCTCCCTCTCCTTACTTTTCTCTGTCAAAAGTAACATTAACATTGTGGCATAGCGGGTTCAGCCACCTCCTGCGACATGCATCTCACATGAGCACGGGGTCAAGTCCTGGCTGCTGCTCTGCTCCAGCTCCAGCTCCCTGCTCCTGGCCTGGGAAAGAAGAGGAGAATGGCCCGATGCTCGGGTCCCTGCTCCCACCATGAGAGACCCAGAAGAAGTTCCTGGCTCCTGCTTTCAGCCTGGCCCAGCCCTGGCCATTGCATCCATTTGGGGAGTGAACCAGTGGAAGGAGGATCTCTCTCTCTCTCTCTCTCTCTCTCTCTCTCTCTCTCTTTCTCTCCCTCCCTCCATCCCTTCTCATACTCTCTTTTGAATAAAAATAAATAAATCTTTTTAAAAAATAGTGACGATGGGGCTGGCACTGGGTTGTTGTGGCCATTTGGGGAGCGAACCAGCAGATGGAAGATCTCTCCCTCCCTCTTTCTTTCTCTCTCTCTGCAACTCTGCCTTTCAAATAAATAAATAAATCTTTAAAAAAGAAAGTCAAATTCTTTGGATTACCACCCAAGGCCCTCTATCCAAGAATTTCTGCTTCTGGACTGTTCCTGGGCCACCCCACAAAGTGCGTTGTTGTGACATTTACAGAGATTTACAATTTCTAACCGCCTGCCTTTTGTGGCAGCTGGACATGAACCCCCCCTTACCCTCCCTATGGGACGTTGAGCTCCTAGAAGGCAGGGTCTTTTCCCTTCCCCATCCCTGGATCCTGGACCCCAACTCTGAAGATAGAAAGGTTCAGGACAGGTGAACCAGGGGGCTGGCGTTGTGGAGCAGTGTGTTAAGCTGCTGCCTGCAAGCTGGCATCCCATATCTGAGCACCGGTTCGAGTCCTGGCTGCTCCACTTCCGATCCAGCTCTCTGCTGATGAGCCTGGGAAAGTAGTGGAGGATGACCCAAGTCCCAGGGCCCCTGCCACATATGTGGGAGACTCAGATGGAGTTCCAGGCTCCTGGCCTTGATGCAGCCATTTGGGAAGTGACCCAGAGGATGGAAGATTTTCTCTGTGTCTCTTCTTTCAGTCACTCTGCCTTTCAAATATATAAAAATAAAATCTTAAGAAGACAAGCCAATCATCAGGCAGCAGTGATCTGAGAGAGAGCCTCTGTGCTTGCAGGGCAGGTCAGTGCAGGAAGGGGGGGCATCTGAGAGAAGACCCTCAGAGGCCAGTGAGGCAGGGGGTGACTTCTGTTGAGTGCCTACTGTGTGCCGGGCACTGTGTTACCTGCTTCACTGGTCTGACCCCATGAAGTCCTCACTGACAGCTGGGGGCATTTATTATAAACCCATTTTGTGGGGCCGGCACTGTGGTGCAGCGGGTTAAAGCCCTGGCCTGCAGCGCTGGCATCCCGTATGGGCGCTGGTTCTGGTCCCGGCTGCTTCTCTTCCGATCCAGCTCTCTGCTACGGCCTGGAAAAGCAGTAGAAGATGGCCCAAGTCCTTGGGCTCCTGCACCTGTGTGGGAGACCTGGAAGAAGCTCCTGGCTCCTGGCTTCGGATCAGCACAGTTCCGGCCGTTGCAGTTGTCTGGGAAGTGAACCAGCGGATGGAAGACCCCTCTCTCTGTCTCTACCTCTCTCTGTAGCTCTGTCTTTTAAATAAATAAAAAAAATCTTTTTTAAAAAACCTATTTTGCAAATAAGAATACTGAGGCTCAGAGACGCTAAGGAATCCCCACAGTGAGAACGCGGGACCCCAGAGTCCCTGGAGACCCTTCGGCTTGTGAAGCCCGGGATATTGGGGTGAGCTCAGGCTGGCTTCAGTGACGCTCCAATCCCAAACACTGGGTAAAGTTTGCCCGGAAGGGGTAAAGGTCAGCCTGAAATTTAGGGAAGGAAGGAAAGGAAGTCCTCCGTTCAGACCGGGCCCGGAGGTGAGTGACAGAAACCCACAGTGCCCGAAGCCACGGCGCGGAAACCCTCCGGCGCCCCCTGGTGGTCCTCCATGCCACGGCGCGCTCTCAAGGATGCCTCGGCCGCGACGGGGACAACCGGACATCGGCGCGGGGAAACCGAGGCGCGCTCGCTCCCTGGCGCACCCAGGAAAAGCTCCCGGCTGCCAGCCCTTTCCATGGCACCCCTTTCTATCTGGAGTGGGTGACCGGCCCAGCCGTCGAGGGGTAGCAGATCTGCTACACTTCAGCCCCGTTACAAGCACGGTCCGCGCCGCGGGACGTGCCACACCCTATCCGATGCGCGAGGACATGGCGCAGTGTAGACTGCTCCCGGCGCGCCCCGTCACTGTGAGGCGGCTTCTCCACACCCCTGCCGCCCCCACCTTCACTCCCACCCCCATTTCAAAGGCCCAGGGCGGCCCGCCGAGCCCCCTGCCCACTGTCTTCCAAAAGCTCAGCGCCCCGCGCCTCCTTCGCAAGAATGCCAGGAATCAAAGGAGATAACGTCTTCCGCGATGCAGATGCGGCTCAAAGAGGGGAGACGACCCGAGAAAGGGGGCGACTGCGGGTCAGCCCTCAGCGGGCGCGAGCGCCTGTAGGAGTTCCTCGCCTCCCCAGGCAGGGCCGGCTGGTCCACGCAGCGGGAGCCGTGGGACAAGGTTCAACTCACCGCGCGCAAGAAGGACAGCGGGCGGGACCGGCAGCACGGGCTGACTCGCGCCTCGAGTGCCCCGGAATCAGGCCCTCGGCTCAGCTTTTTATCCCCGGGAACCTGGTCAGGGCTCAGTCCTGGAAGAGGGAGAGGGGCGCCTGCTCTGCTGCCCCCTGGAGGGCTCCCTTGCGCCTCCGAGCCCGGGCGAGGTTGGCCGAACGAGCCGGAGCCGCGGGACCAGGGCGGGACCGCCCCCGGGTGGGCGCGCACGGGGGACACAAGCCAGGGCTGAGGGGTCGGGCTGGGGGCGCCGCAGCAGCCTAGGGGCACCGCGGACACCCGTCCCGCGGTCCGGCCCGTAACGCAGCCCAGGGGCCTGGAAGGCCACCTCGCGGTGCCTGGCCCGGGACCCTCGCAGCGGATCCAGCAAGAGGGAGCGAAGTGCGGCCCCTGCGCCGCCGCGCACCCCCTTCCTGCCTATAAATAACCCCCGGTGTCACTTCAAAGGGGGCCGGGAGCGCGGGAGAGGGGCTGCGGGGGCCGCGCGCCCCGCACGCCACGCCCCCCACCCGGCCGGTTTGCATAAATAAACAAATCCGGGCGGCCGGCCCGCGGGAGCGCAGGGGCGGCGGGGGCGGGAGAGCTCGGTTTGGGAAGCGGCGCGGATTGCTCATCCGATCCGCGCGGCCGCCGCGGCTGTGTCAAGTTACAGCGGCGCCGGAATCGGCCCCGGCGCTGCCCATGGGGCCCTCCGCGCGCGCCCTTGCGCCCGGGGACTGAAGCGGGCTGACTGGGAGACGCGGGACGCCCCGTGGGACCGACGGCGCGGCCCCCCGCGCGGACGGCAGACCCCGAGACGGGCGGTCCGGCAGACACCCCCGGCGTCTTCGCGCTCGGGACGGCCTTCCAAGTAGCTCTTTTCTCGCGCCGGCCAGCGAGCCTCCGTGGCCGCAGCCCGTGTCTTTGGGCTTCTCCGGTGCTGGTGCTGAGTTTTCTGTCTCTCTGACGGGAGCGAAGGAGAGGGACGTCAGCCAGCGACCCAAGCCCTCTCCCGCTGTCTCGCCTCTATTTATTCTATTTATTTATTTATTGGTTCTCAAGACGCCCGGCTATGGTAGCGGAGCGCGCCGGCAAAGCGGCGGCCGCCGGAGCCTGCGGCCCGGGGGAGCTGGGCGCGCCCGGGACGGTGGCGCCCGCGGCAGCGCGGAGCGAGCGCTGCGCGCGGCTGCCCAGCGCGGGGTCGTGCGGACTGCTGGCGCTGGCCCTGTGCTCGCTGGCGCTCAGCCTGCTCGCCCACTTTCGGACGACCGAGCTGCAGGCCCGGGTCCTGCGCCTGGAAGCGGAGCGTGGAGAGCAGCAAATGGAGACGGCTATTTTGGGACGAGTCAACCAACTGCTGGACGAGGTCTGTGCTCTTTGTTGCTGGCTGTTATCCCTTCCCGCGGCGCCCCCTCGCGCAACCTCCCAACTCTCCACCGGTCGGTGCCCGCGGGCGCTCGCTATCCACGCCGCCTGGGCACCCTGGGCCAGCTCACGTCGCCTGCGGGGACGCGGTACGTGGGGGCGCGGCACGGGCCGACGGACGATCCGGTCGGCTGAGCCAGGCTCCCGGGCTCCCGGGCTCCCGGCCCCGGCAGGCACCCTTTGCGACCAGCGCGGGGTGCGCTGGGCAGGGCAGGTGGAGCAAGGCAGGGCAGGCAGAGGCGCAGGGCGGCGCCACTTCTCGATCCCAGGACCCTATCCCGGCGATGTGAGAGCCGGCTTGCGCCCATACGGTGGGAAGCGTGCCAGGAGGCTCGGGGCTGAGGCTTGCTGAGCCCGGTGGTCCTCCCCCTTCACTCCGCAAGGATTGGTGCTGCCTGACTTTTGTTGTCACTTTGGAAAGAGTTATCCCAGGGTTTGCAGGGGACGGAGGGACCGTCCTTGCCGAGGATGGGGTCCGGGTCTCTGCTCACTGCGCCTGGCTCTCCTGTGCTGGGACGCACATCAGCCGGGACCTTCTTGTTCCCAAGCCGGGTGCCCTGTGAAGGGGCCGCTGACAGTCGGTGCTCTGCTTCTGTGTTTTTCTGGGTAAAGGATGCTGAGTTTTCTTCCATTCTCCAAATTTCCCAAGTGGATTAAACGGTCCTTGTGTGTCTCTTAGCCATGGTTACCTTGAGACTGCAGTAAGTGGGTGACCGCCCCAGGGAGGTGGCACGTGCTATCAAAGGAAACTGTGGGTCCTGAGAGGTGGAGACCTGGGGACCTAAGGCATATTGGCAGCACAAGGCATCCGGAGCCCAGAAGGGGAGGGATCCTGGAGCTGGCTGCCATGGGAAGTTTCCACGGGGAAGGACTGGGAGGGACCTCTTACCTGGTGCAGGTGTATGGAGCCGGAAAGAGCAGGGTGGCAGAGCCCAGCGGCACTGGCTCTTCATGCCCATGCTGCTGTTTAATAGCTGTGCAATCTTGGGGAAACTCTGCAACCCATCTGAGCCTGCAAAATGCTAGTGATGACGGCGAACGTTGAAACTCTGACTGTGGTAGGCGCTGTGGCCATCTTGGCAGGATGCACTGGTTCCCTGCAGCCTGGCTCCTCTTAGGCACTCTGCCAGGTCGAGGCTGGCACCTGCACGAGCCATTCTCCCAGGGGGTCAGGCAGAGGGAGGTCACGGGGCCAAGGCAGAGAGGGCAGCCCCAGAGCAAGTTACTGGTGCTGGTGGTGCACCCACGTGTGCTGCTGTCAGCTCATTCCCATGCCCTGCCAGGCCCCAGGGAGTCCAGAGGGCTCGCTGGGTCACCCACAGTCCCCTGGGCCTGGGTGTGGGGCGACTTGATGAGCAGGCGGGCAGCCTTTGGCAGCCGGTGGACTCGGCGTCAGGGCAGTGACGGCTCTGCCGGTGTTTGAGAGCCCTGACTGTAGCCGACCGGCACCTGGCCCTGAGGCTGAGGCTCAGCTCCTCTCTGGCCTCGCAGACTTTCCCAGGCCCTCTCGCTGGCCAGGGCGAGCCCTGGCTCTTTCCCAGCTCCTTGTTTTCTCTGCTGAAGCCTTAGTCACCCCAGGGCGCGGGCTCTAAGGCCTTGGGGTGACTGTTCTGAGACGCTGATTCCTCCTCTCCAAACCTCAGCCTCGTGTTTATCCTCCTGACTTGCAGAATTCTCACCTGCCAGAGGCGAAAGTCACCCCAGAGCTCATGTGACGTGGGCCCCATTTTACAGATGGGGAAACTGAGAGCCAGAGAAGGGCGGTAGGCTGCCTGCAGTGGCTTGGTGCGAGCCAGGGCCGGAACCTGAGCCTCTTGGCCTGTGTACAGTGCCCTTAGCACTGTGCCCTGCCCCCTTCCTGTGTCTATACTCATTCATCCATCCATGTATTTGGTGTTTACTTTGAGCCAGCTGTCGGTCAGGCCTTGTGGGAGGCCACCTATACCCTCCTCGACTTTCTGGCATGTAGGACACAAAAGAAAATGAGCAGTGGCCATGCTGTGCAGACAGTGCTACGCTAATGGAGGAATGCTGTACAGGAACGTAGCCTGAGAGTGGTGGCAGTCACGGTGGGCTTCCTGGGGAAGGATGCTAGGGGTGCATGGGAGTTGTCTAGGCCAAAGGGCAGTGAAGGCAGGGTTTCGTTCCAAGGGGGCAGGAGAGGCTGGGAGTGGGAGGGAAGGGTCTGCCTTAGGGGGCCAAAGGCAATCTGGGACACCCGGGGGGTGGGAGCATGGGTGGTGGCCCCAGCTGAGAAGGCGGTTATGTCCCTGACATGAGACGTGAAGACGGGCAGAGCAATGAGGCCCAGAAAGAGGCTACTACAGGCCAGAGGGAACTGTGGCCTGGGCTGGGGGTGGAAAGAAGGGCAGAAGACAGGGCTGCACATGGTGGCCGTGGTGCTGAGACCCCGGTCAGTAGGAAATGATTAGAGCTAGGGCGAGGCAGCTGTCCTGTGTGTGGGCCCTGCCATCCCGGGGCCCCCGGAGGGACTGTCCAGGGTTGCGCCATCAGCAGTGAGCAGCAGTCACAGGAGACCATATCGAGACAAAATGCAACTTCAATCTCGGTTGTTCAGTCGCCCCAGCCACATTCCGAGTGCTCAGCGGACACTGTAGTGAGCGACTGCCGTCCTGGGCAGGGCAGACGGGGGCCTACACATGGTCCCAGAAGGTCCCACCAGACAGAGGGCTTCTCAGAGCAAATTCCGGCCTGCAGAGTGTCCCCAGAGCAACTGGAGAGCACGCACCCCAGGCCTTTGCCTTCCAAGGTGTGTCTCCCAGGTCTGAACCAAGGGCAAAGCCAAGGGAAGGGTGAGGCGGAGACCTGGGACGAGGACGACCCGTGATCTGCATGTGCAGAGGGAGGCACCTAGAGAGCTCAGGGGCTTGGGGCCAGACTCCAGCTGGCCTTGACCAACCACGTGGCTTTCGGCAATCCCCCTGCACTTCAGCTCCTCCTCTGGAAAACCCAGGCCCTCCCGGGGTTGCTGCGAGACCCTCAGCAAGTGGCACTGAAAGGTGCCACCACCCAAGGCCTTGCTGAGGACCAAACGGGTGCACACAGCAGGGTCCCCAGAACCGGGGGGGGGGGCGGCCAGACCTTGGGGCAGGTGGGCTGGATGGAAGACAGGCGTGAGAAGGCAGCCCAGGTGGGCACGGCCTGTGCAGTGGCCCAGGGACAGGAGTCCAGAGGCCCCCACACCAGGCAGAGGGTGGGGTGGTAGAGACTGAGTGTCTGCAAGGATGAGGAAACCTTGCAGGAGGGGCGGCCTGGGAGGAGGCAGGAAGGAGATCTGAGCAGCGGGGGCCCGGGCCAGGGCGGGTCAGAGCCGGGAGCCAGGCAGCCTGCTTAGCAGCTCAGTCGGGAGCCAGGAGTGGTGTTTGGAGACCTCAGAACCCAAGTCCCCCCCCCCCCCCCCGCAGCGCCTCCCTCCCGGGCTGGGACCCACAAGAAGCACTCCAGCTGCCTGTGATGTGATTTGCTTGCTGTGAAGAAAGAACCCGGAATGTCCCAAATGGAGACGATCAGATGACACCTAGGCCTGGGCAGCGGGTGTGCAGTGGAAGAGGCAAGCATGGGATTTAAAAGAGCCCGATCTGCTGTGGAGACCCAGGGAGGAGAACGGGGTCTGCAGCCATGTTCAGGGGGTGCCAGGCAGACTCCCCATGCCCAACACTAAGAAGGAGGGGCGGTTATCTGGCGTGTGTAGGTGTCCCGGGGCTGGCGCTGTACAGTTTCTGGTAGGTCTCCTTTATTCCTCGTGGTGCCCCGCTTTACAGAGGGGACGACTGGTGTCACCGTCCCTGTATCCTGCTGTCTGTGACCCGTTCCTCTGGGCATCGAGGGACCTCCTGGCAGGGCAAGGTGTTGGAGCTTCCGGGCTAAAAGGTTGAGGATCCCTGGGCAGAGCCCTTCATCCCTAAAATTCTCAGTTGGGATGGGGATTCTCACCCATGCCTTTTGCACAGGAGGTATTTAGGGGAGAAAGCAAAGCAGCAGGTGGAATTGTGGGCCTCTGGATGGGAGCTCCAAGGACTGGAATGCTGGGCTGAGGGGGAGAGCAGGCTCCTCCAGGGGGCAGTGGGTGCTGGCCAGGGACAGTGCAGGTGTCCTCGGGGAGTGGACAGGCCCTGGATTTTAGCGCTTGCACATGTGGCCAGCGCCCCACCGTGTCAAGCCTGCGCTGCACACGTCCCCTTGGAGTGCATCTAGCCTCAGGAATCCTTTTAGTACACACGTGTTCCTGAAGCTGCTGCTGGCTCCCGAGGGTTGGTGTTCAAGAGAAAGAGCCACTTTATCACTCTGAGTTTTGTTTCCCTTTTTCTTTTTTAATGCAGAACAGCACTTACTATGGAGAAAGTTGGGGAGGGGGGAGTTGCCATAACTTTCCGGCTTCTTCAGAGAACTTTAAACTAGCAGGAAGCCTCTGTGCCCACTGCGGCCTCATCAAACAGCCGACCCCTGGGCGGGGGGAGCTCGGAGCTGCCCTAAGTGCTGCGTCCCCTCCTTGAAAGTCGCCTTCTGCCCTTAGTCCTCATTGTCCTGGACCTGCCCCTGGATGGCCTCTGGAAAGCCTTCGTGGACCACCCTCACTCCAGGGGGGCTCGCTCCCTGCCCCCACTCCCTGAGCCCACTCCCTGAGCCCTTGCTGGCTGCGCCGATGCCGAGCTCACATAAGTGGACGGAGCTGGTGTTGCTGGCTTCCTCCCCTCGTCCCAGACCGTGGCAGACACTGCTAATCACTCAACACGTCGTTCCCATGGAGCCGGGTTAGGCCTCAGTCTCCCTCTCAACACAGCAGTCGGGCTGCCGCTCCCAGCCCATCCAGGCAACGCACAGGATAAACTCTCCCGGCCACCTGTGGCTCAGCCCCAGCCACCTGTGCGGTGTCCCTGCTCTCTATTGCCTTTCTTTTCAAATCACTTGTTTATTATTTGT